GGCACAGCCACAATTTTGTGCTGTCACATTTTTTAGCAGTGCTCCAGCTACAAATACTAGGGCGGTGAGGCTTAGAAGGTGTTTTGTTGTATTGTAGAAAGCCATTTTGGTGAAGGGCTAGTGAAGAATGAGAATGAAGGTTAAGATTTGTTGTTGGATATTTGCAGAGAAACATAGAGTTTGAAATGCTCATAACTTCCCGAGAAATTCATTTTCCGACATGAATTTATCAGAAATCGTGTATGATTTTAGTTGACCTTGACTTGCATGTGTGACGTGCAAATTGGTTTCTTTGGATTCCCAAATTACATCTACTAGCGCAGGAATTTTTCCATGGTGGTCCATAATCTTGTCGGGGTAATTAATAGGGCTCGCATTCCTTTACCTACTCACAAAAGCTTCATTTGAGGGATCCTTTATATGTGAAATATCGATATAAGACACACACAACATTGTTATTCAATAATCCAAATAATTTATATTTTTGGTATTCCTTAAAGACGATTTCTGCAAAAATCATCACTTGAATCTGAATCAATTTGTCTACTCAAATAAATAGTTGTTATCTTAATAGTTTCTTAAAACAACGTGTTGATTAATTTTATTAGCCACGGTAGATGCCTTAACAATTTCAAAAATATTATGAACAAAGACTTGACTTCTTCACCCAAAAGAAAAGGCAAACACAGGCGGCCCTATCGATGGCAGAGAGAACACGTATTCAATTGACTGACTTCTTGACCCAAAGAAAAAGCCCCATTTCCACGAAGTCCAAGTTCTTTAAATAAATAAAAGATAAAATAATTCTTGAAGTCATGGCGTCCAGGACACTGTACTACAAACAACTCAGACGGCCCCATCCATTGACTGGACTGTTGAAGCTTCGAATTCGAACCATCTTCTCCTCTCTTGTAGACTTGTAAGTTGTAGTACATGTGCTTTGTTTAAGCGCCACAAATATAATAAAATTTGTAGATAATTTCCACACTTCAAATCTCACGTTGCATACTCCTCTACTACTCATGAGAAGTTCATAAGGGTAATTTAAGCGTTTTTTTTCAAGTGCCGAAATCATTTCCCTAAAAATTTGAACATTCCAATTTTCTTCGAAGTCATGTGGCGTAGGAGAAACAAAAGCCAGTTCAGCTGTAACCAGAGAAAATAGAAATTATGGTACGAAATCGACTTAGTACAAATACGATTTTGTAGCCGTTAGATTGATGGATTCACTCTTCTATACCAGGGCATAGATTGATATCAATCCATTGGATTGTGTTCGTACCAATTACTACTACGGATGCACCCGGTTCGGGATTAGCAGAGGGGCAGAGCAATTTTTCTTTTAGTTT